ACTGTGACTTAACCCACAAGGATTTTTTTTTTTTTTAAGTCTACTACATGCCAGGTTTTGTGCTGAGAGGTTTCAGAGATACCAAAATAAGGGAAAAGTTTAACACCTTCCCCTGGGACGGGGGACCGGAGCCAAGTCTAGCAGGAAGGACAGACCCAATCAGAGTTGCACAAACCACCGTTCTCTGCTGGGAAGGTCTCAGACGCCAGAGAGAGCGCAGTTAGTAGGTCTCCGGGGGCTTTCCCGGGGCAGCGCCCCCTGGCTGTGTGTGGGGGGGTGAGCGCTGGGCAGGGAGAGCTGCTGGCACAGGTATGGGACGTGCAAGGTGCTGGGTGTCATGCGGCTGGGCTGGGGGATCCGGGGGAGCGCTGTGGGTCGAGAGGCACAGTGTCCGGGAGGCAGGGCCTGAGGCCTGGGAAGGAGCTGGGTCCTCGGCCAGGGAGAAGGGAGGGGGAAGGTCTGCTCACTGCAGCGGGCCCAGGGCTGGTGCTCGGGTTTCGGGGCTCTGGGGGGCAGCCCAGCTCCCTGTGCTGACTGGTAGGCCTGGCTCCTCCCAGCGAGCTCAGCACAGTGCCTTTTCTTCGGCCAGCTCTGGGGTCACAAAGGAAGGGGCTGTCACTGGGGAATACCCAGCTCCCAGCCACCAGGAGCCTCACGAGAGGGAGGGTGGTTTGCGGTGAGGAACCAGAGGCCCAGGTCACAGGCTGCCTGCCAGGCCACTCTCTGGAGAGCCTGTCCCCTCCCTCAACCCGGGCTAGGACCTGGTGGGCTCCTACGGTGGCTCTGCCCTTCCGGGGCTTTCCAGGGTGGGAGAGTCACCAGCTGGCAGCACCCTGGGGTGCATGCCAGGCAGGTGTGGGGGCCGGGCAGGGCAGGGCCCTGCGGGGTACGGAGAGAGGGGGTGCTGGGAGGGGGCGAGTGGGGAGGCGGGGTAGGGGTGATGGGGAGAACTTACATCCATCTGCGCTGCATACAGCAGGGACCAGGACAGGCGGGTTCCAGCCTGTGCTGGGGCCGGGGGTGGGGGGAGGCAGATGGCACATGAGCAAGGAGCACCAGACAGGAAGGGGCTGTGGGAGGCCACCACAGCGGGACCTGGGGGACGGTGTGGCAGGTGCGGGGCATGGCCAGAGCGAGGACTCCAAGGTCAGCGAGAGCTCAGCAGAATCCAAGGGCGAGGGTTGCAGGAGAGGGGGCGCAGAGACTGAGGTTTTCTGAAGTCCCCCCGCGCCCCCGCGTCGGGCGGGAGTCTCAGGCCCCTCATCATTTTAGGCTGAGAAGTTCCGTAATCCGTTTGAGCCCACTGGAGGAGAGTCTGGCGCCCTAAACCAGCGCTGGTGGCAGGTTCACTCCAGGACACGCTGTCTCTGAGTTCTGTCTTCCTGTGCGGCTGGGAGGGGGGTGGGGGAGCCTGGCCTAGGGCCACCCCTCCCCCGCGGCGCATTGTCTGCCCTGAGGCAGAAGTGGCTCCTGCCCAGGGCAGGCAGGGCGTGGGGACCTTGAACCCCATGGCTCTCCCCACCTTCCGTACTCAGCCCACCGCTGGCCTGGACAGGGGGGCTTGGGGAGGCGACCATCCTGGTCCCCCAGGGCTGCCTGGAATCTTAAGAGAGGAGGCTGGACATGCAGGCCAGACCCTGCCTCCCAGCACAGCCACCCAGGCTAGGACATTGTCCCTGTCCTTCAGCCCACCCAGTGCTCCTCAGGACCACCCAGTCACTGGGGGCGTGGGGAGGGGCATTGACCAAGTTGACCAACCCATCACTTCTCCTACTGCAGATGGCAGCACCTTTTCGCCAAGACCAGACCTAATTTACAAGTGAAATGACTCTAGCACTGGGCTGTCACCTCCCAAAAGAAAAATAGCCCCACGCTCAGGGGCTGGGACACCTCATCCCAACTCTACCTGCCCCGCCCGGCCAGGGGTCACAGAGCACTCTCCCCGAAGCATCCTTGAGGAAAAATGGCGACACCCAGCCCTGCGAAATGGGTCCCACTCGTTCGTAGCTGAGTTTGTATCTAGAGCTCCAGCTGTGGTGCTCACTCCAACCCGGTCCACAGAGTAAACTGAGTCAGCCCAGGGTTCTGCCTCTCCAGGGGCATCTGACTCCTGCAGCGCCCCCACCAGGGGTGCCCAGTCTGGGACACCGTCCTCCTTCTAGCCCGGCCCATACGGGCCACTCAGGCCTGTCACTGCGCATCCATCCCATGAGTCTGGGAGTGGGGGCCTGCTCTCCTGGTCACTCCTGGACCCGCCCCTCCCCTTCTCTGTCAGGGCACAGGCCCCGTCCCCCTCCAGGTCAGGGTCGCCGGCTCATCACCTCCCCAGAGCCACTATTTGGGACATGAACTCTTGTCGGCCAGAGACTATGGCTTCTAGAAGCTTCTTTTGTTGTTTTTCTTTCAAAACGTTGCCTCCCTCAGCCATGCCTTTCAAAGTCTGTTTTAATGTCAAAAGCTGGCCGGCATCTCTGCTATCCCTTCCTGGGATATTTCCCTTCTCTCTGCTGCTGCCTGGAGGGGCGGAGGTGGGGGTGCCCATACTGGGAGACGGCACGTCCCCCACACCAGGCAAGGATGGCCATGCCCTTTCGTTAGAGGAGTCGATTAATCAGATCGGTGTGAGCGTGCGAGAGCCTGGCACACCCTCCCCACGTAACCTTCCCACGGCACACCTGAGCTTCTGGGTTTTATTTCTCCTGCCTGCTGCTCCCTCCCCCCCAGGTATGTGGGAACCCTGCCTCGCCTTTGCCTACACGGCCGCACCCCATCGCCATGAGTTGGAAGGGCACCGTCTGAGGACCTTCTCAGCTCCTTGGCTTCGGCAGGGCTGTCAACCCACCTGGCCTCCTTCCCACCCGCTGTCCCCCGCACCACCTCCTCGCAAATGACCTTACTCAGCTTCACATCTCACTTTTAAGGCTCCCACCTCCAGGCAGCCTCTCCTGATGCCTCCCCACTCACCCCCTCGCCCCCAAGCTCTCACAGCCCCCAAGATGCCTTCCATCACCCTGTCTCCTGGCTAGGCTGTGAGTTCCTTGGGACAGAGGCCTGGGGTGCCCTCTGAGAGGCATTGTCAGCCGAGAGGGGACAGCTCAGCATTTCATATGTGCTTCCTGCCTCACGCACGAGGAGCCTGGAGGCCGGACTGAGGAAGAAGAACTGAGTCTAAACAGGAGGAGAAACAGGAATGGCACTGACAACCACCCCCTGACGTCCGCCATGTGTGGGGTCTGTCACCCGGGTCTGTCAGCCTTGCAAACGCACCGACCGCCAAGGAAGCAAGTGTGCAGGTGGAGGGGCGGCCTTCGCCCCAGGCTGAGTTAGGGGAGCAGGGGTTTGAGCCCAAGGTCAGGGCGTGAGCATCCCACATGCTTTCCTGAGGGCGGATTCCGCATCGTTTGGGAGTGGGGATATCTAAAAGGAGTCACGGGTCGCCTTGCCCAGAAAAGATTTGGGGGTACAACAAAGATGCCACGGGACATGTAATTAAAAGCAGAGGTAAATGAGGAAGGAAAAGCAAGGGCAAGAGGAGGTCTGAGTGAAGCCCGAGCTGGGCTCACAGCTTTGGTTGAGAGCTCCCCGGCGGCCAAGGCGAAAAGGAAAAGCAGCAATTTACACAACTCACTACCCCATGGGTAGGGTTAGAGGACATCAAGTCTTAATCCTGACACTTCCCTCCTGGGGAAAGGTGTCAGGGCTTGGGGGTCGGCGTGGAATCTCCTTCCATCTTTGCACATTCTGAGCAATGCCTTGGGCCAGACTTGGGCTGCACGTTGGAGCTGCCAGGTGAGACCCCAAATCAGGCTGCTGGGGCGTAGTGACCCCCATATGCCCTC